ACACACACACACACACACACACACACTGGACCTCTAGTAATTATTTCAACAACGGAAAGACATGACAATGAAAAGTAAGTGAAGGGTCATGTTTCCTGCGTATCAGGACCGGCCCGATCCAGATAGAACCGATGTCGGCTTCTGTTTTTCTCCATTTTTTTGTTATTTCTATCCCTCCTTCGTTGCAGTGACATCCCCTCCCTCATCACATCACATCGGCCCTCATCTCTTTTTTTCATCCGTTTCGTTTCTGCCTTGTCACTGTTTCCAGTGAACTCGTGAGCAGAAACTAAGCATAGCACTGGACCAAAAAAAAAAAAAAAGAATTAAAAAACGCTGAGCTCTTTTTCCACAGAAAGGACGGACAGTCTGGATTTCGTAACCATCGCTAACCATCCTCTCCATCGGCATTGTGAGTCAGAGCAGAATGAGGAAGCAGTTAAAAGAGATCAGGCGAAGGAGAAGAAGAAGAAGGAGAAGCAGAAGGGAGCTATGTGAAGGAAAAGAAAACTTTATTTTGTTTCTATTTTCCACACTTGACTTTCAGAATGCACATAAACACAACCTGCACGCTTAAAAATATAAAAAAACAGTGGTGCCCACACAGAAGAACCGTTTTTTTTTTTTAATTTTTATAGGTTCTCCTATTTCATAAAGAACCTTTTGATTCATGGATTAATAACTGTTTTTGTTAGCGGACAGAAAACTAACATTTTGGTTTCCCACCATAAGTGCTGTCATCATGTGGAACAGTCTTTGTGGTGGAAAAGATTTATTCATTGCAATGCAGCAACGACAAACATTTTAAGAAATCATGAACAAAAAAAAGGTTCTTTAAGGGACCAAAATTAGTTCCTAATAAATTTAGAAGCAAAGAACCCTTTCAGATAGGGAAACACTCTGTTTTAGGTTCTACATGGAACCTTTAATGGTTCTGCATTTTCTAAGACGAACTATGTTTAGTCCCTATAAGAAAAGGTTCCACGTAGATCCCTTTTAAGGCAGTTAGAAACCATACTTAACTAAAGTAAAAACTTAGGACCCTTTGCGATAAGGACACACTCTGTTTTAGGGTTCTACATGGAACCAAAAATAGTTTGTCTTAGAATATTCAAAACTCTTAAAGATTACATGTAGAACCACAAAACAAATGTTTCCCTATCAGAAAAATTTCCAAGTAGATCCCTTAACAGAAAAAAAACCCTTTTTGACAAACACTTTCTTTTAGATGGAACTAAAAAAATAGTTTGTCTTAGAAAATGTAGAACCCTTAAAGGTTTCATGCAGAAACTAAAAGAGATCCCTTTGTGACAGGGGTTCTACATAAAACTAAAAATAGTTCATCTTTGTGTGTATTAATTGGGTAAGTGTGCAGTACAGACTCCAGTTTATTGCTCATTATTTTCTTCTCAATATCTAGAACCTTTCAGAACTTACAATCTTCAAGGGTTCTTTAAGGGTTCCTTGGATAATTAGACATTCTTAGCTTCATAAAACTGGTTCTGTTCTATTGGAAACACTCAGATATAGGGTTCTACATAGAATCTTAAAGGTGTTCCCCAGAGGAAGAACCAAAGAACCTTAAAGCGTTCTACTTCTTCTAAGAGAGTATCAGAAAATGTTTCAGACTAGAACCGTTTAAGGGGGCCATTATGGTTATTATTTTCTCTTGTGTGCTCTTAAGTGCTCTTGGTACTTGGTACAAGGGAGGGTTCTTTAAGGGTTCATTGGATAATCAGGAATATGTAGCTTCATAAAAATGGATCTACTTGGATCCCTTACTGATAGAGAAACACTCTGTTGTAGGGTTCTACATAGAACCTTAAAGATTTTCCTCAGAAGGACAACTGACGATCCCTTAAGGGCCTTGCCACTCTTGGAAAACTCTTAGGGGTTCTGTCCCACTGCAGGAACCCTACAAAGCAAAACCTTTTTTAGGAAGCTAAGAATTATCCAATGAACCCTTAAGGAACCAAAGAAGAACCCTATTTTTTCAGAGGGTATCAAGTACCACCACAGCTAAATATTAAACTCCTGACAAGTTCTAGATATTAAGGAGAAAATAATTAACAATAATTTTAGCAAGTTAATACTTACACTCTTAGAAATAAAGTGTTCTTCAAAACTTACTAACCTTAAAAAAAGGTTCTACTTTGAACATCCAAAGAACCCTTATGATACTTCTTAGAAAATCTGGCCTTAAACTGAATAATTTAGGACCATTAATGGTTCTTTGGTTGTCCCTCTGAAGGATCCTTACAACAGAGTGTTTCTCTATCAGATAGGGTTCCAAGTAAAATCATTTTAAGAAGCTAAGGACACTTAAAGAACCCTTGCAGAACCCTTTTTTTCTAAGAATGTAGTGTTTTAGGAATTTTAGAGAAGCTATGAAGGCAATGCAGCGATGTCATCCCGTTAACGAGGGCTCGCCACCCCGTATCCAAAACCCTGGGTGATGCGTTCAAGGTAACAGTATAGGGTGAAGTCAGGGCTCGTAGCCTTTCTAGCAACTTACTTATTTCCAAAATGGTTCCTCTGTGTGGAATGTTTTAAGCTCCACCCACATGTATACGCCCATTTTTAAAACTGTAGCTTTTACCCCTACTTTTTTTAAATAATTCCCGTCCACACAAACTTTTAGCCACTCATTACTTTTAGCCTGTGTCTCTCTCTCTCTCTCTCTCTCTCTCTCTCTCAGACTTTCTTTCTTGGCGTCTGTAAGGAGTACGAGCAGCGTTAGCGTTAGCAGCACAGCAGGTCGTCGGTGTAGCTAATGACGGGGATCAGGGAGAGGCAGAGGCAGTAAAAGGCAGTTGATGAGGACTCCCACTGACAATCGGCTAATAATCCTCCTCGCTGTCTCTCAGCCTCGAGCCCTTCCTTCCATCTGGAGCCGAGCTACGCTATAGCTGTCCACCCTGAGTGCACTTCTCAGTATAATGACGTCCTCAGAACAAGTATGCTAACTGGGCTCTGCGTGGCTTAGCATTAAAAACATGCTAGGAACTAGCTGTAGTGGTGCTCTCGGTAGACCCGAGTGCGCTAAATAGGAAGTGTTAAGGGTCCTTGCTTCCAATCTTCTCTTTTACGAAGCACTTTTAAAGATTTCACAAAAAAGAGAACCCTTTAGTGCTCTTTTTTAGAGCATGCACTAGTTTTCTAGGTTCTGAAGATATTAGCACTGAAAACATGCAAAAGTAGCAGCTACTTTGTACTTTAGCCTCACTATTCTCTTCACTGGGGTCGAACTGAATTATTGACTTTGAGGGAACGTAGCAGTTCAGTGAACATCCAGTGCACTTTTTTTTAAACAACGAGCAACAAGTAACATTAATAACCTAGCAAGGCATTCAAGTTGATTCTGAGAGTTACTTCTTATTAGCATTTCTCTATTTTTAAAAGAAAAATGAGAGATTAGCCATCTGTCGTTTTTCTGTTGGCTCACACTTCCAACAGTTGCAAAGTCTATGATAAAGTTCACTCATATTTACTCAGCTGTAGCAAGTGAATTCCTTTTATGCATCAATAATAATAATAATAATAATAATAATAATAAATAATTTTGAGTTCAAAAAGTCAAAACAAAGTATTTATGGAAAATGACATTAATGAACCAATCTATGATAACTACAAATTGTTACAAATTAAAAACTGCTACTAATCATTTTTAATAAACATTTTGCCAATTAATTCTTTCTACGGAAGCCCTAAGAGGCCATGTGTTATGCGTGTTTTTTTCCTTTCTTGTTTTCTTGTGATCTCGACATAACAAAAGTCGTTTTCTCGTGATAAGGGCTTAATTTTTCTGTGTACTCGACATAACAACATGTTGTTTTTATTGTTCTCGAGGCAGCCAAAGCTTAGCGCAATCCCACAGCATCATGGATGAACAAATTCATTTTTATTTTGATCAGAGACTCACTCAAGCTGAAGTAGCTCTTTGTCTGTCAGTGATTTATAACTTGCACATTATATTTACGGCATTTGGCAGACGCCCTTATCCAGAGCGACTTACAATTATCTCATTTATACAACTGAGCAGTTGAAGGTTAAGGTTAAGCCTTGCTCAAGGGCTCAGTAGTGGCAGCTTGGCGGTGCTGGGACTTGAACTCTCAACCTTCAGATCAAGAGTCCAATGTCTTAACCACTGAGCTACTACCCTATCCCTATCCATTAGTGTCGGACACTTGAGAAGGAGGCCGTAAGATCTACACCTCTCTCTCTCTCTTAATGCGGAGATAAAGTCCATCTCTACAGCGGGCAATTAATACATTAATGATGGTGATGACGATGGCAAGGAGGCCCACGTGCATGCAACACCAGTCCCATTCACAAGGCGTGAGAGTTTCTCGTGATGAAATTACGCCGTGAGAAAACAGCTTTTTTGTTATGTCAAGATCACAAGAAAACAAGAAAGCAAAAAAAATAGTAATGCATGACCTCTTAGGGCTTCCATAGCTTTCTTTTCTGACATACAAACATTTTTCTGTAACATTTCATTTTGTGCTGAAAAACGAATGTTTGGAATTCTAAAATGTTTCTGTACTGACTCCATAATGTAGAAGTCATTAAATAAAAATCTATAACAAAGTTTGAACCTTCTGACCAATCAGAATCCAGAAATCAACAGCGCTGTGGTATTAAAAAGTGGTAACCGTCTGTCGTATAAGATCTAAAGCAAGCAAAAAGGTTCTTCTTCTTCTTCTTCTTCTTCTTCTTCATCTGACTCACACATGTCTAATTCCCCTGCATTTATTTTAGTAGTGGATAGACTCACTAATATATTAGCTGTCAATCATAAGGATATTACATCATCATTTTCATCATTGCTCGGAATCAAAGGCGCGTGTAATGAAATCACGCTGTTCATAACCTCGAAAACCATAGAGATCTCAATATGTGGAATTTTCCGATGAGTGTATGGAAGTGTGTGGTGACTGTGGTTAAAGGAATAAATCAGAAGAAAAGTAATTACACCTCGTAACTTGAAGAAGTAAACATCAGACGCCGAACAGTTTAGCCAAATCATTTCTTACCAAGTTTCTATTCATACTCACTGATAATGATCCTGGTGCTGATACCAAAATGAGTAACTTACTTAGTATTAATCAGTCACCACAGAACATTTTATTTAGCTCTGTTTATGTTTCCCTGGTTTAAAAAGTGGCCAATGAAAAGCACACACGTGTGTGTCCGTGCACTTACACTACTCGATTCATTCTGTATAACATTAGCCAGCTACATTAGTTACCTTGAATCAAGTAGGTGAGGAGGTTTTTTATTAAAACATTAATAATGATGTAGCTTCAAGCAAGATTAAGTCCAAAGGCTATCACACTTGATTTATGCAACAGGCTACAATCTAGTGGATTTTTAGAGTAACTCTGTAATTTATGGCAATTGAGCATTGAAAAGAAGAATAGAGTCATCCAGAGAACAGTCTAGCAGCTCGTTTTACACATACACAATATCGCACTCATGTGCTTGTTGAATGTCCCATTCCAGATTTATTCCCTCTTTGCTGTTATAATGAGCTCCTCTCTTCTGCGAAGGCTCTCCACTAGATGTTGGAGCGTGGCTGTGGGGATTTGTGTTCATCCAACTACAAGAGCATTAGTGAGGTCAGGCGCTGATGTTGGGTAAGGAGTCTCCAGTTCCAGTTCATCCCAAAGGTGTACAGTGGGGTTGAGGTCAGGGCTCTGTGCAGGACACTCGAGTTCTTCCACTCCAACCTTCACACACCATGTCTTCATGGAGCTCGCTTTGTGCACAGCGGCATCGTCATGCTGGAGCAGGTTTGGGCCTCTTAGTTCCAGTGAAGGGAAACTGTAAAGCTACAGCACACAGAGATGTTCTATACAACTGTGTACTTCCAGCTTTGTGGCAACAGTTTGGAGAAGAACCACATATGGGTGTGATGGTCAAGGGTGCACATACTTTTGGCCATACGGTGTATCTTTGTTCAACTTTATTTGAGGTAATATCATTAACCAGGGTTTCCTGGTCCTGACTACATCTCAAGAGAAAACACACAAACTAGCCCAAAAAATGTGGGAACTGGAAAAGGGAGACATTTGTCGTCTTTTTCTCAGCATTTGCATGGAAAATATATTATAATAGAAATTGTCCTATACATCATATAGCACACTGTCAACACACTGTCTGCACTTATGGAAATTTATTAGATTAAATAGATTTAATTCAGATGATTTGCTATAAAACAAAATCTTGGAAGCTGTGGAGTATTTTATCATTTTATTAAACCAGCACAATCTGGCAACCCAGTCATTAAACTGTCCTGAGCGCTGCTCCTGTCCTGAGCATGGTGTGCCGTGATTCCTGCTTCAATGGGCCTCTATTAGCACTTGTTGCAGTTCCCATTTTTGACCACTAGGTGCAATAGTAGCTGGAGCTAACTGGGGTGATTGTGCAACATCTAGAAAGGCGAACAAATCAACATAAGATGGTGGCTGATCGTTGAACAACACCGAGGGCAAGAGCTGTTATTTTCATTCACCTAGCGTCCTCTGTAGACATTTGTTCTCTTCTAGCTCCTCTCTTTTTCTTATTGAAATGCTGTAGCTCCTCCTCTTGATATTTTCTACAGAGCACAGTTTGTAGTCTGATTTGCGTTAATCGTGAAATGTGTCATTACGTGACATCTGTCCGTTAGCATGAGAACGTACGCTAAACTTACGGCACCTGTAGTATCACCCGATATTGGATGTTGGTATCAGAGCATCGATGCATCCGTAACAATGATAAGTTTTATTTATCTCCAAATATAAGAAATAAATGAAATATGGGCATACATTTAAAGCAAAACTTTATTACTGTTGCTCAATTTGTAGAAAGCATCCAAAAATAATCATGAGACAAAACAACGATGCATGAAACAATCACTCAACGTGCGTATTTTTAAACTTTCAACACGTACATATGAGCAAGAGCTGTGATTTCAGCTGTGATGTCATCATCGCAAGGTTGCAGGGAAAGCTGTCTAAATCCGTTCAGGAGCAATGTGACTCGTCTAAAAATATCACTATGATACGATTTTTCCAACTTGACACAATTTTTGCTTGTTGTGAACTCACACACACTTGAGCTGTGTCATGGTTAGGCCGCCAACATTTCCTAGAAGATAGGTGCTGAGTCACACAAGTATGAAACCATTACAGTCACGTTACTGCCGAAACTCGGCTCAACAGGATACACGCCCTTTGTTTTTTTTCAATAGTTTCTTTTTTGTCATACACAACATTTTTAGGAAGTTCATTTAGAGCAGAAGTCAAAAAATTTCCATTCGCAATGATAAAATACCACACCATGTACTTCAGCGAGGACACAACGGCTAATTCGTAGCTAAATTTTTTTTTTTTTTTTTAAATAAACTGGGCAACTCCAGCATTATGGATGCTTAGGATCAATAAAACCATTTGCATATTTGGTCATGTGACTTTCATATTATAAGATTTTATAAGATATTTATGTCTATATTACTAAAACAGCAGTTTAAAGCAGTTGAAAGACTTTTGACCTTTGAAGAAAATATATATATAGTCTGAGGCTCAAAAACAATACATCTCATTTTGCAACTGGAGGTCATGTGATCTTTTAATATTCAAATGTCAGATATTTATGAGTATATTATATAACGCAAACTTTTAGCTGTTTAAAAATAATACATACACGAGTTCTTTAAACATATAAGGGCCAAGGACATGAAAACTCATTTATAACCAGAAATTGGGGGAGGGGCATACTCTCTCTCACCTGTCAATCATACTGACACTAACCAATCGTGGACATCTGTGAGCTTATGTATGTGGAAGAGGGCAGATAGCGCTTTCCTCCGAGTGTGTTACGCAGCGAGAAAAGTTGCTGTAGTCGTCTGGCTTCAGGCGTCTCGGAGGAAGCGAGTGTTAACCTTCACCCGCCCCGGTTGTTAGCTTTCGTATGATGAACAAACAAACAAATTTTGTAGGCCTTTTATTCATATATTTCACAAAGAAATGTTTTGTGTATTTTACAAATTAACAATTTTACAATTAATTAATTAATTAATTAATTAAGTTAATTTTTTAGTGTAGCTACAAAAAACATATTTGTGTATATAGAACTTTACAAATATTTTCAAGCAGCAAATTAATAAATATATTTTTTAAGTATTTTACATTTTCGATGTTAAAATTGCACAGTGAACTGTTATTTTGAATCTCTTTTTATTTAAAAAAAAACATTTGAAGGAAAACATACAGAAATATAAGTGAAATGAAATCTTGTAATATTTCTAATTTTTTTTCTATCATTTTTATTCTTATGCATAAACAATACATTTTAAAACTTTAAAATGAAGCTGAAAAGTCCAGTTTCAAATACACAGTACGTGAATTTTCTGGTATATATATATATATATATATATATATATATATATATATATATATATGTGTGTGTGTGTGTGTGTGTGTGTGTGTGTGTATTGCTGAGGAAAATAATTTAATTAAACAAACACTTGAATATAGACTGAAAAGTACAATTTATAAGTGATTTTGTTGCTCTAAACAATCTGTTTTTAATGATGTTAATTATAATTACTTCATCATCATATAGTTATAATTTATGTTATAGTATTTTCGAGTTATTATAGTTTATTGTTTAGGTGCCGCTGAATTGAATAAAGTGTAAATAATTTCAAATGCAACAGTAATAAGAATAAAAGTGTTATTAATATGACGCAAAATATTTCATATTAAAATATAATTGATGAATTTATAAGACAAAGCTCAAATCTATGTTTGTAAAATTGTTCCATTATATTAATAAAATAAATCTGTGCTGTGATCTTTAGGTGGTCCCTGAAATGTAATTTTCTTCATTTATTTTTGTAATTTTTTGCATTTTTTTTTTTTTGTAAAATGTTCACAGCGTTTTATGTTTAAGCTTGCAATATAATAAAATAAAATAAAATAAGATAAAATAAAATAAAATAAAATAAAATATGCTTCACTGAACAGACAGAACAAACATTATTAACGTGTACATGAGTACCATAGCTGACTCGTTTTCTCTCCACACACACACACACACACACACACACGGTTCCACTCCCCCATTTTCTTTCCGTGAAGAGTGGATAATCAGGAGTGTGGTGTAATTAGGG